TTGAATTTTTTGTTATAACATTTTGAAGGAGGTAGCCTCTATTTATACACCCAAAATGGTGGTGAAAACTATTTTAGAATATTCTGATTTTTTTCATTATTTCATTACTTGTTTCTGAAGACATTCTAGAAAATTCTGATTTTTTAATTTTTAATTACTATTTTTGCTTGCTCATAAAAAAATTTTAGGGACTTGTATTTATTATTTATTTTCTTGCTCCCCAAGGCAATTCTAGTGAATTCTAGATTAACCTCAAAATATGCAACAACCATTAATACTTCTCCTTGACGCATATTTTGATTACTCCAATCAATTCTCGTAATAACTCGAACTTTTCTTGTGGTAGTGCATTCGTAAATATATCTGCTAATTGTTCTTCAGTCTTGCAATGTTTGAGTTCTATCTCTTTATTTGCTTCAGCTTCTCTAATGAAATGGTACTTGATGCCAATGTGTTTGGTTCTGCTGTGGAATACGGGATTCTTAGCCATTGCTATTGCTGACTTGCTATCGTAGTAGATCTCCGTTGCTTCATTTTGTGGTTCTCCCATGTTTTAAAGTATGCTTTTTAGCCATATAGCTTGAGTTGTTGCCATTGCTACTACAATATGCTCTGCTTCAGCTGATGATTGTGCAACTGTTGCATGTTTCTTTGATGCCCAAGAGAATATTCTGGAACCTAGTGTGAATGCGTAGCCTAATGTGCTTTTCATATCATCTACTGATCCTGCCCAATCGTTATCAGTATACCCAAATAGCCTTAGGTCAGGCGTAGACTTATACCTTATTCTATAGTCTTTTGTTCCTTGGAGGCATCTTAGTATCCACTTTGCAGCTCCATAGTGAACTTAACTTGGATTTTGCATGAATCTTGAAAGTAAGCTAGTTGCATAGATTATGTTTGGCCTTGTAGCTGTGAGATAGAGCAAGCTTCAAATTAAACTTCGAAATTGTGAGTTGTTTGATTTTGGACTACCGTCTTCTTTTCTAAGAGATTTATTGCTATCCAAGGGTGTTGCTACTATTTTGTAACCTTCCATCTTGAGCTTCTTTAATAGATTAGTGGTATACTTCTTATGAGCAATGAAGATCTCATCTTTAGATTGAGCTATCTCACTCCGAAGAAAATAGTGCACTAATCCCAGAGTAGTCATCTTGAACGTTTTCAACATGTCTGCCTTGAATTTCTTGATCATCTTCTCATCGTTCCCTATATAGATGAGATTATCAACATATAAAGAGATTATAAGTGTACTACTTGTACCTTGATTTTTGATGTATAGAGTTGGTTCACTCTGACTCCTCCCGAATCCTTGCTCAGTGAAGTAATTGTCTATTCTGCTGTACCAAGCTTGCGAAGCTTGCTTTATTCCATATAGTGCCTCTCTTAATTCAAGACCTTTATCTTCTTTACCTTGCACCACATATCCTTGAGGATGCTCTACATAAGTTTCTTCTTCAAGATAGCCATTAAGAAATGCTAATTTGAAGTCTAGCTGGTAAATCTTCAACTTTTATGTGCAGCTAGTGCAATCAACGCCCTTATCAACTGGAGCAAATGTTTCAGTGTAGTCGATGCCAAATTGTTGTGAGTATCCTGACGACTAGTCGTGCTTTATATTTTTGGATTAAGCCATTAGCATTAAGCTTTGTCTTATAGACACATTTAACTCCTATGACTTCTTTATCTTGGGAGAAGATCTACAAGCTCTCAAGTGTTATTTTTCTCGATCATTTTTATTTCTTCATCCATAAGTTTTTTCCATTCTAGTTGTTTTGAAGTGCTTCATAGCTTTCAGGTTCAATAATTATCAAATTGCAACTTTGATATATTTTCGATAATCTTCGTGTTTTTCTTGGTGACAATTCTGGTGAATCGACTGGTTCTTCTGTAGTTGCTTGTTTTGGGGACTCTGGTAGATTGTTCTCCTTAACGTCACCCTCCTATTTTTGTGGTTGTGTTAGGATGCTGATAACTTTTCTTTCGACTTGGCTAGTTTCCCAGTTGTAGGTGCCATCTTCATCAAACATAACATCTTGACTTATAATTAGCTTCTTTGTTCTAAGATCATATACTCGATAGCCTTTTGATTGAGTACTATAACCTAAGAAGAATCATTTTTCTATTTTTTCATCTAGCTTCTCTCTTTTCTCCTATGGAATATGTGTGTAGCAGATGTAGCCAAAAACTGTGAGATGCTTTGCTAATGGTTTTCGTCTACTCCATACTTCCACTGGCGTTTTGTCTTGAACAGCTTTAGTCGGACATCGATTTAGTAGGCAGACAGCAGTGTTTACTACTTCTGTCCAGAGAGTTTTTGGAAACATTTCTCCATTAGCATAGTTCTAGCTGTCTCCATTACTATTCTATTCTTTCTTCCTGACACACTATTTTGTTCAGGCACGTATCCAACTATAAGTTAATGCTCCATCCTTCATCTTCACAAAACTTGTTAATAGTTTTGATATTGCAACCACTTTACTTTTCAACATAGCTTTTGAATTTTTTAAAAATCTCAAATACTTGGGATATACCCATATCATTCTAGTGTAGTCATCAATGAAGAGAATGAAGTACATATTTTGCTCATGTGATGGAGTACTCATTGGACCGCATACACCTGTATGTATCAGCTCTAATGACTTTTTAGCTCTCCAAGATTTTTTGGACAAAAATGGTTGGCGGTGTTGTTTCCAGAGCAAACATCCTTCGCAGACTGCATCAATCTCTTTTATGACTGGTAAGTCTCTCATCATCGCCTTTTGTTGTAGGATCTTCAACCTGTGGAAGTAAAAATGTCCAAATCTTTTGTGGCACAGCCATGACTCATCCACTTGTGTCATCATTGCCGCATTGTTTGCATATCTCAATTGGATTGGAAAGCATTTGTTCTCCCGCTTTTTTACTTTTGCAATTACAAGAGATTTATTTTTCTTGTCATAGATCGTGCAAGAATCTTCTTCAAAATGTAATGTATATCCTTTCTCCATCATCTGACCTGTACTTAATAGATTTTGATCTATTGTAGGGATTAAGAGACCTTCATCGATGTATATCTTGCCCTTTTTTTGTGTAAACATCAATAGTGCCTTTGCTGTTGCCTTTATAAAATTTTCATTGTCAATCTTGATTTTTGCCTTGATTTTATCATAACTGCAGAAAGTACTTTCATCTTTCGTCATATGATTACTACAACCACAGTCTAGATATCACATATCCCATTTGTCATCAGATGCATCTTTGCTAGTGGCATAAATAGACTTCCTTTTATATCATTTTCTTCGGAGAAATTAGCTTGATGATTTTGTTTAAAACGACAAAATTTTTCTTCGTGACCAAATTTTTTACAGTAAAGCTACTATGGTTTTCCTTTAAACCAACAATCATTTTCCAAATGACTTTTTCTATTACATATACTACATGAAGGATACTTGTCGCTTTTATCAAATTCTTTTCCTTGAATTTCTTTATTTTTACAATTTTACTATTTTAGATTACTGAAACCGCATATTAACTTTAGATTGAAATGCGTTTTCCGTGTTAATCTAATAATGCCTTTCTAATATTTTTCATGTTCTTCTAGTAAACCCATTAATTCTACAGCTGTCAATTTATCTTTATATTTTTTACTCCTCAATAGCTGCAATAATCGGCTCATATTTATCTGTGCAAGCAATTAAAATTTTTCCAACGACTTTCTTTTGAAGAACATCATTTCCATAAGATCTTAATTGATTTACTATTTTATCTATTTTTGAATAATAATCTTTTGCAGTTTCAGAATCTTTCATTTTTAAAATTTCAAAATTCCTTCTTAAAGTTTGAAGATGGCAAGTACATACCTTGTCACTGCCGTGAAACTCCTCCTTCAGTTTATCCCAAACTTCTTTTTCCATTTTGGCTCCCATGATTTTTGAAAAATAAGTGTCCGCCAAGCTCATTTGCAGAGCAAGTTGTGCTAGAAAATCTTTTTGTTTATTATCTTTAAGTTCCTTCTTTTGTGCAGTAGATAGAGTGGAAATGTCATCTGGGTTGGAATACCCATCATTGACGATATCCCATAAATTTTGCGCACAAAAGCAGGTCTTCATTTTGATGGACCAAAAGTCATAGTTGTCTCCGTTAAATGTTGGAATACGAATGGATGAATGGAAAGCATGTGCCATAGTATGTGCTTATGCCCAATATCAATGAACATAGCTATGATACCATTGACAGTTTTTATTTTGAATAGAAGAAATAAATGAGTTTAGATAGAAGTGAGTAAATAGATTTTATGTGGGATAGAAATGATAAGAGTGATTTAATTGATCAAAATAGTTGAAGGAGGAAGAAAGAAATTTGATTAAAGTTTTACAAAGTGGCTTTTGATTTACAATGCTAGAGGTTGGATGCTCATTTCAATTTTTTGTTACAACATTTTGAAGGTGGTAGCCCCTATTTATACACATAAAATGGTGGTGGAAACTATTATAGAATATTCAGTTTTTTTCACTATTTTATTACTTGTTTCTCAAAACATTCTAGAAAATTCTAAATTTTTAATTACTATTTTTGCCTGCTCATCAAGAAATTCTAGGGACTTCTATTTATATTTATTTTCTTGCTCCCCAAGGCAATTCTAGTGAATTTTAGATTAACCTCAAATATGCAACAACCATTAATAGTATTGTTTAGTGCTATGTGCTAATAACACATATACATGTGCTTTTATTAGTGTCATCAATACTTCTTATGTGATTATATTTATGAGGCTGTAAATTTTAAAGGAAATTTGGTAACATAAACCTATATATGTCTGTCTTTCTAGTGGTTCGTATCTTCTTCATTACTACGTGTACGACCCTTCAGCTATATTCTCATAAATGTATATATGTCTCTCTTTCTAGTGTTGCAACACTCCATTCGAAACATTCATAAGGCTGCAAATTATGTATAATACTACATACTATCTGTCTCATTTTATCAGATCATATTCATAAGGCTGAAAATTTCATAAGATGCCAGCAAAATATTATAAGGGAATTGGGAAACTACAAGGGGGTTATATCTTCTTCGCTATGGTGCGTAGATATGTTTTATACTACATGCTCATAATACGTATATGTCACCTTTTCTAGGGTAAGCAATATTACCTGGATCATGTTATGAGCGAGTCCAAAATTAAGAGAGGCCTGCGAAGTAATATAAGAAAATTAAGAAACAATACGATGTTAATATTTTTTCCTTGTATAGTGCTGTATAATAATATGTGCTATCATAATATGTTCTCTCTTTTTTTCTAGGGCAAACGTTCCGCGTCTGATCATATTCACGAGGCTACAAATTATATAAACTACCTGCAGAATAATATCCAGGAACTGGAAATCAAGAGAGATACGCTAAAGAAATTATTGAAGGAACAAAACTTTAAAACTGGAAGCTGCAGCAAAACTTTACCTATTATTGTAACAGTAAAATCATGCAGAGTTGGTATTGAGGTTTCAATAACTGGAGATTTTACCATTCCATTATCAAGTGTGCTGCAAATACTGGTAGAAGAAGGTCTGAATGTCATCAGCTCTATTTGCACCAAAGTGGAGGGAAGATCACATTATGCTATCCAATCCGAGGTGAAGTTATAAAATGATATTTGGTTGTTTAAGAATCACATCATTTATGATTAATAAGTAGATGATCTTTTTAAGTTTATTTCATGCACTACTTTTCAGGTTATGGATGTTTCCGGCGTCAGCCTTGATATGCTACAAAGGAAGCTCGGTTACACGATCAATCACTGGATAAATTATGCGTAAATTATGTATTTTTATGCTAACAATAATTTTTTTTAATTCGATCTGTAGACCCCAAAACTGCAGGCATTTTATGCTGTATTTCCAGGAATTTTGTACTGTTAGGGTATATTATATCTTATTTAAATGAGTTTTTTTTATCTCCTTTCAATCACCAGTTATAGATTTGATTATTTCTCATTGGTTTTTCTTTGCATCAATATCTTATCACTGCAAAGAAGACCCAAACATGGAAAAACTTTGGAATATATCTAGGTTTGTATAAGCTGGAAGGTTTATAAAATTGATTTATTTCTGAGGTTGAGTTTGTTTGGACTTGTGTTGCATTGGCAATTCTGTAGACAAAATAAGTGCTAGTTAAATTATATTACGAGATTATCGAGTTGCGATCCATGTCAAAATAGGAGTTATCGAGTCCTAATTAAATTCAAAGAGTTGGGAATGATAGTGTAGTGTTTGAAGGAGTCTAAGATGTCCAAGAACATCATATGTGATCAATAAAATACAATTAGAAGTCTAAATAGTTTCAAAGAGCCGCACAAGTTAGATTTCAAATTCTCGGTCATAATTTTCAAAAAAAATTTCACTTAGAAAACATTGGAATTTAGACAAAGCTACTTCTAAAAGAATTGTTGCCATTTGAATTAGCTTTTCAATGCCTTTTGAATCACCTCAATCTAACATCGAAAATGAAAGCTATGATGAAAATACTGACGGTTGCTTAGCTGTCGTGTAACCCTAGTTCGCATTTTTCAAGTGTTTTACTTGGCATATACTGCCTAATTACCTCCTACTACAAATGCCCAAGCTTTGCTTTTTGTATGTGATTATCCATTATATTACTTCATTACATCATTCCAAGATATAAAAACACATTCAAACGTTGAGATTAATCATTGGATTCTTGAGATCATTCAACCACAATTTTGGGAAAACATCAAATTCACTTAATTAGAAACACCCACTTCTTATACACATGTAAGAAGGTATTTCTCAATAACTTTCAAAGGTTACTGAAGATTGAGGGGAGTTGGAATAGAAGTACCGGAAGAGTATAAGAAAAAGGTGCACTTGATATTCAAAGAAGATAGACAAATCCGAAAGATTAGAAACTGATATGAGCGAAGCACATTCCAACGAGTCTTGGAGATTGCTGGAATTAAATCAGCAAGTCTAGTAGGTTTTTTAGGCTAGATCATTTGTAAGTTCATGTTGCCCATAGTAGAGGCCACTGACTTTGTCCCAAAGTTTTTACCTAGTTAGGTTTTCTCCGCAAACATATTGTGTTGTTTATTGCTTTCATATTATTGATTGTGGCTTTCAAACTATAGGATAATCTACGTGATTGATTAACTGTCTAGAAACAATTAAAAATTGACTTGTTGCTTTTAATTTAAAATTCTGTACGTTGGGTCAAAATAAATTGGCTTAATCTAACTTTCATGTAGTATCAAAGCCTAAATTCGATTCTTGACCCTAATTTTTCTAGATGAGTAGTTCATTATCTGTCTCGCCAGATTTTGATGGCAGTTACTATGCGTATTAGAAAGTTAGAATGAGAGAGGCTTTTTAAAATCGATGGATGAGCTTATTTAATTAAGCATAGTGAATGGTTAGAAACCCCTTCTAGCAACGTCAATGGTATCATCACCCCCACTCTTATCTAATTTAGATAAGCGCTATTGTAATGTTAAGCCCTACATGTTTTATTTATGGCAGTGTCACCTCAAGAATTTAGGCAATTATCTATGCATGAGGCTGATAAAGAGGTTTGAGATATTTTACGGACACACATGAGGGAACTTGGGCAATTAGAACAAATTACATAAATTGACCACTAGATTTGAAGAGATTAGGATGAAAAAGGATGAGACATTTGATGAATTATATGCAAGCTTGAATGACAATTAATTCTAGCTTCAATCTAGGTGAGAGATCATGAGCCCAAGATTGTCTAAAAATCCTTAGATTTTTACGTGAAAGATTTTGGCCTAAAATCAAAATTATAGATGAGCGTAAGGACATAGATGCTATTAAGGTGGAAGGATTGGTTGGATCTCTCCAAACCTATGAATCAACATTAGCCAAACCTACAAAAGATAAGTCTTTGGCCTTGAACACTGTTAGGGATAATTTTAATGAGTCTTCTTATTCGAAATCACCTAATGATGAAGAGATAGCTTATTTTACTAAAAAATTTCGAAAAATGTTTAGAAACAAGAAAAGCCTTTAGACAGACATAAAGGTGCTCCCAGTGAGTTTAGAAAGAAATCTCAATCTGTAAGATGTCACAAGTGTCCAAGTTTTTGCCATTATCGGAGTGAATATCCTAACAATAAGAGAAATAAGGATAAAGTTATGGATGTTACTCTCACTGATGACGAGTCTTAATTCGGATAATCGAATTGAGAGGTTCACTCAAGATGAGAACAGGAAATATATGGCCTTCACTGCTAGGATTAGGAGTGAATTGATAAGAAAAGTGAGAAGGTTGATAATGTAGATGGTGAGCAATTTGAGTAGGATTCTGAAGATGAGGAAGACATACATGAGACTTATAATAAATTGTATAAGGAAAGTCTTAGGATATTGACTGTCAATAAAGTCTTATGTACGAAGATCAAAGACCTTGAGCAAGAAAAAGAAAAACTAATATATGACATTCAAGAATCTACTTTATCCTTGAGTAAGTTGGACTCTGTGAATAAATTCTTAAATACACAAGTTAAGAATCTTATGAGTGATCTTGAGGAGTCCTCTAGGAGACTTTTGAGTTGAGTGTTGTGAATGAGTTTTTAGAAAATAAGGTTAAGACCTTTATGAGTGATCATGAGGATTCCAGCACCCAACTTCTTGCATTCTCTAGTGGTTCGTTGAAACTTGATAGCATCTTAGGAATAAGAATGCATGCTAGTAATAAGGGAGGTCTATGATATAAAGAGAATGATCACATGCTTCTAGTACTTCCAAGACCTTTTTGTCTATGCCACTGATGAAGCCTAAGTACACTCCTAACCCTGAATCCAAGAATAAGGGTAGTGTAAGATAGAGGCCTACTAAAATAGCGTAAGACCTACCAATATAGAAATAGAAATCAGCGACCACATAACCTTGGTCCTGCATTTATCCCAACTTATTTCAATTGTAATGAGTTAGGACATATAAGACCTAGGTGTCATAAATTTTTGAACAAAAATAAAAATTAAAAGTTCAATACAAACAAAAATTAGGATTTTGATAGCCGAATTGGCTTCTTCACTAATCAAGTGTGCCAATTGACCGAGATAATGATACAGTTGACTATGATTAATTCTTCCACTCGGCAAGTTTGGGTGAAGAAGAGTGATCTAAAAAATCTTGAAATAGATCACAGTGCTCTTAAGGTAAGAGCGTTTGTATACCTAACTGATTAGGTATTTCTGGTGCATGCTTAAGCTTATTCATTTTGATTCATTAATTATTATATGCATCTTATTTTTATATTTGCTTTATAAGTAGTAGGTTCATGTATGTACATCTTCATCGGGTTCGCATTGGTACACGCTTATTTTTTTGTTTTGTTTTGTGTGTTGAATATTTTTTATTTTTTATTTTGTGCGATTGGAGTATGTATTTAAAAAAAAGAGGTGTAGAAAGTTTTTAAACTACAACATGATATATGATAAACTTGAACTTGTGTCTTATGATCAAGTATGAATTTAATTGATGTGGTTTAGCATATTTTTCGTTACTTGCTTAGGTTTTTATGGATTACTTAGTACCATCTGCACTACACATATTGTAAGTGGGACTCAGCAGTGTGTGTGAAATTTGTAATGATAGTCACATGCTGGCAAGATGACTTTGAACATGAATTGATCTTATTTTAGTATATCTAAGCTCAAGTATATTCTCTTTGAAAGAAAAAGCTCAATATCTTGTGTTTTACTTCGGAGCTTATTTGACCGAGCAATTAAGCCAGAGGGGTTTCTCATAACTTAGTGTCTATGGTCAACTGATTTGGGTTAATCAACCTAAAGTTCGTTACAATGATTATCTTGGTTGTTTAATTGAGAAGAACCTGCACATAAGATGTGAAAAATGTGATCTTAAAACTATAGAAAATGTGTGTGGTTGTGTGTGTGTGTGTGTATATATATATATACGTGCAAAATGAGCTTCTTTATTAGGTCTAATATGCTATTATTGGTTTGAGTTTCATAAGTAAAGAGATAAACTTATTGATAAAGATGTTTAGCATGTCATTTCTCGCAAAATTAAGGTTTGAAGTGCTGCTTACAAAGGATCAATGACACTTTACACAAATGGGTCGCTTATACAATTTACTATATTTTAATTTGAACTAATTGTGTGGGACAACCTATTGATCATTTATTATCTTCTGCATGCTATCAACTGCATTTTTGAGTTATTATATATTGATGTTTATGTTTATTTGATATAGTTCCCTTATTCATTTGTGACAAAAAAAGGTGGAGAGAGATTTGATTGTAATTTTGATAACTGTATTTTAGGGAGATTTTGCAGTAAAGGGGAGAGATGATAGTATCTTTCATCCATGGCATTCCATATCATAATGAATAGATATTAAAGTTTCAGTTGATTTTTTTACTAACATTAGTATTACTTCTCAATCTAGCTAACTTATTTATGATAGTAGGTTTCAACAGTTATATTTTCTGTATCACGTGCTTTTGCACTTGGTATGTGAGTTGTTGCTTTTAGGAAATAGGTTAACAAAGAATGGAAGATATGGACATTCAGTTTGGGTTTGGGCAGACTAGTTTTTGTCCTTACTTCCTTGACTTGTATTGTACAATTTTGTCATAGAATGCCAGAGGTTGGAGATTGTTAGAATTTATGTTGTATTGACATTTCTGTATACAAAATCAAGTCCTAGTTAAATTTTATTAGGAGTTTTATCGAGTTATGATCAAAGTCAAAATAGGAGTTATTGAGTCATAATTAAAGTCAAATAGTTGGGATTGGTAGTATAGTCCTTGAAGGAGTCCAAGATGTTCAAGAAAATTACATGTGATCAAGGGAGTGTAATTAGAAGTTTGAAAAGTGTTAATGATTCACAAATA